TCTTATGGATGTTTAAGAGATTTTTAAAAAGAGTTTTACAAGTTTGTTGAGGGTTTTTAAGTTTGTTTCAAGAGTTTGTTTGTGAAGAAAATTCCACAAGAGCTTGAGGAGATCATCTATTGAAGTTTGAGTTTCCAACTATTCTCCCTCCACCTCTTGATCTATTGAGAAGTTTTCTAAACTCTTATCTAGTTTTACATTTACTTAGTTATTTGATTATCTTTCTTTAAAGCTAGTTTTTATATTGAGTTTAGATTTGATTTTAATCTCATTGTTACACACACCCACATGAGCTTATTGTATTTGTATACATAGTATATTAGGGTTGTGAGAGATTATAACATTGAGTTGTGCTTCATTGTGTTCTCATCTATTGTAGAGAACAAATTTATATTTGTTACATTGTGAGTGTTGTAAGGTTTTCGGTGAGCTAGAAACCGAATGTGTAGTAAAGTTTTCGGTGAACTAGAAAACCGAGTATGAGGAGTGAACGTTGTTCGGTGAGCGTTGAAAACAGACACTGTGAGGTGTAAACGTTATTCGGGTGAGCGTAGAAAACTCGGTTGTGATAGTGGATTTCTCCCCGGGATTGGGGAGCGGAGACGTAGGACGGAAGGTCTGAACTCCGTGATCATTTGAGTGTGTTTGAGTTTGTCATTGGAGCATTTGCTTTTGTATTTATCTTATATCGCCAATTGTGCATTGCTCATTTATTTCATCCACTATCTAGTTCATTTTATTTACCCTTGGTTAGTTTATATATCCTTGCACATACATTGCCTATATCTCTTTGTTAGGATATATCTCATTATTCATATTGTTTATCCTAGCTCATATATTGTTGTATTTCATACTTGCTAGGATAACTTGTTAATTAATTTTAATTGGCATATAATCGGATTAGATTAGCATAATACCCTAATCACCCCCCTCTAGGGTCTAACAGAGGTGTGTCGGGTATTTTTTTTTCATTGACCGAACTTATGTTGATGAGGTATTGTGCGATGTAGTTGAGATGGATGCTTGTCATATGCTGCTAGGCAGGCCATGGTAGTTTGATGTTGATGCCATGTATAGAGGGAAGGATACGCTTATATCTTTAAGAAGGATGGTCGGCGAATTATGCTCAAGCCTCTAACCGAGAAGGGACCTGTCAAAACTAATGTTGCTAAAAAGAAGACTTTTTTGGTCGTTGACAATGAAAACTTTATGAAAGATGTGAAGCAGTCTGATGAGGTTTATGCTCTTGTTGTCTCGGGAAAAGAGGATTCTACCACTGCCAAAATTCCACCTGAAGTACAGACCCTCTTGTATCAATTCGATGCAGTGATGCCTGACGATCTTCCGTTTGAATTACCACTGCTTTGAGATGTTCAGCATCAGATCGACCTCATCCCGAGATCTCGACTATCAAATTTGCCACACTATCAAATGAGCCCGAAGGAAGGAGAAATTTTACAGAAGCAGGTGGACGACCTCATCCTGAAAGGCCTACTATCAAATGAGCCCGAAGGAAGGAGAAATTTTACAGAAGCAGGTGGACGACCTCATCCTGAAAGGCCTTATATGACCTAGCATGAGTCCAAGGAGAAATTTTACAGAAGCAGGTGGACGACCTCATCCTGAAAGGCCTTATATGACCTAGCATGAGTCCGTGTGTCGTGCCAGCGTTACTAGTCCTGAAGAAGATTTGAGAGTGACGCATGTGTGTGGATAGTAGGGCTATCAACAAGATTACCGTGAAGTATCGATTTCCTATCCCACGACTGGAAGAAATATTAGATATGTTATCTGGATCAAAAGTGTTCTCCAAGATAGATCTCAAGAGTGGTTATCATTAGATTCGGATTAGAGAAGGAGATGAGTGGAAGACTGCTTTCAAGATAAAAGAAGGCATGTATGAATGGTTAGTCATGCTTTTTGGTCTTTCTAATGCTCCTAGTACTTTCATGCGTTTGATGAATCCCTTTATCGACAAGTTCGTTATAGTTTACTTCGATGATATCCCGATTTAAAGCCAGAGCGAGACTACACATCTAGACCACTTGAGGAAGGTACTAACAGTTTTGCAGGAGAACAAGTTATACATCAATCTGAAGAAGTGCAATTTCATGACCAGTAGCGTTGTATTCTTAGGCTTTGTCGTTAGTGCAGAGGACATCCATGTTGCTGAAGAGAAGGTGCGTGCTATTCGAGAGTGGCCTATACCGAAGACTGTCAGTGAGGTTCGTAGTTTTCATGGCCTAGCAACGTTCTATAGGAGATTTGTCAGAAATTTCAGCAGTATAGTAGCTCCTATCACTGAATGCATGAAGAAATGTAAGTTTAATTGGGGAGTAGAAGCGGATCGTAGCTTTACACTGATCAAGGAGAAGTTATCTACTGCACCAGTGCTTGCACTTCTAAACTTTCAAAAGGTGTTTGAAGTTGATTGTGATGCGTCCATCGTAGGAATTGGTGGTGTGCTATCTCAAGAAGGGCGTCCAGTTGCTTTCTACAGCTAGAAACTCAGCAAAGCTCGGTAAAAATGGACCACATATGAGCTAGAGTTGTATGTCATAGTTCAATCTTTGAAGCATTGGGAGCACTATTTGATCTCATGAGAGTTTCTGCCTCATACTGATCATCAGGCCCTGAAGTCCCTTAATAGTCAGACTATCATCAACTGTATGCATGCTCGTTAGATCACGTATCTGCAGCGTTTCATCTTTATTTTGAAGCACAAATCTGGGAAGCAAAATAAGATTGCAGATACACTCAGTCGGAGAGTTGGTTTGTTGGTGACTTTGCAAGCAGAAGTGATTGGCTTTGAATACCTAAAGGAGCTATATGCAGTGGATGAAGACTTTAAGGAGATTTGGGATGACTGCCAACAGAATAAATCAGTCAAAGACTTTCATATTCAGGATGGTTATTTATTTCACGACGATCAATTGTGCAATACCCTAGAGTTCGCTAAGAGAGCAGATAATTAGAGACCTTCATGCTGGCGGGTTAGGAGGACACTTAGGGCAAGACAAGACGATTGCTTCCATTGAAGAGCGATATTACTGGCCTCAGTTGAAGAAGAGAGCAGAAAAATATGTGTGGCATTATCCAGTTTATCAAGTTACTAAGGGACAGTCTCAGAATACATGATTGTATACACCTTTACATGTTCCTGATGCGCCATGACATGATATCTCTATGGACTTTGTGTTGGGACTACCTAGAACCCAACAAGGTATGAATTCTATTTATGTTGTGGTTGACAGGTTTTCGAAGATGGCACACTTCATTCTATATGAGAAGACTACAGATGCTAGCCATGTTGTCAATCTTTTCTTTCGGGAGATAGTTCGCCTTCATGGAGTGCCAAAATCCATATCATCCGATCGTAATTATAATTTCTTATCCCACTTTTGGAGGACTTTGTGGCAACGATTCAATACTTCTCTTAAGTTCAGTACTGCTTATCACCCTCAAACGGATGGCCAAACTGAAGTAGTAAATCGTATTCTCGGTAACCTTCTTAGATCCATCTCTGGCGATCGTCCGAAGTAGTGGGATCTTGCTCTGGCACATGCTAAATTTGTTTATAACTGTATGGAGAATCGAACTACAGGAAAGGCTCCCTTTGTGATTGTGTATGGAAGGCTTCTGAATCATTATCTTGACATTGTTCCACTGCCTAAGCTTCCCAGACAAAGTGTTCCTGCAGATCATATGGTTAAAAAGATACGGGCTATCCAACATGAAGTCAAGAAGAAGATAGAGCAGTCTAATGCTAAATATAAGGATGATGTTGATCGACATAGGAGGAAGAAGGTGTTTGAAGAGGGAGACATGGTGATGGTGTTTCTACGAAAAGAATGTTTTCCCGTGGGCACCTACAACAAGCTGAAGAATAAGAAGTATGATTCCTGCAAGATATCGAAGAAGATTAGCGACAATGCTTATGTGGTTGACCTTCCTACGAATTTGGGTATCTCTCCTAGTTTCAATGTTGTAGTTTTGTTTGAGTATTACCCGTAAGAAGAAACAGATATTTATGCAAGTGTAAGCAGGGGAGACTGATGTAGGATGTTTAATCTGAGTTGGAGTCTATTTAGATTAGGAAATATAGATTAAGAAATAAATTTAATTTTAGAGTCAAATTAGATTTGAAAATAAAATTAATTTTGATTCATGATTTGTTTCCTCTATTATAAGGAGTCCTTTTAGGATAGAATTTGATATTTTTTTTGTAATTCTAGTCTTATTAGGAGTCTTATTTGATACTTTCTATTTTTATAATTCTAGTCTTACTAGGAGTCTTATTTATTTTTCTATTTAAGAAGAGTCATGTAACCCCAAAGGAGAATAACTTTTCATCAATAAATTAAGAAGAGTCATGTAACCCCAAAGGAGAATAACTTTTCATCAATAAAATTTCTCTTTTTAATATTTTTTTCGTGGATTCGAAGTTCTTCGTGGATTCGAAGATCGTTCTTTGTGGATTCAGAGAACACCATTGGTAGATTCCAAGGTTATCAGTTCCACGTTGCGTCATGCCAACAAACCGAATACTTCTCAGATTTAACGTGGCCAGTGTTTTTCAATCTCTCATCGTCGTATCCCCTCTTTCTCGCTCCTCTCGTCTTTTTCTCCTTCACTATTCATCTCAGTTACCTCTCTCGCTCTCTCCTTGTTGCTTCCACAAATTTTAGTTAAAAAACTTTAGAGAGAGGGAGGGAGAGAGAAGCTGGAAAGGGAATGAGAATAAAATAGAATGTGTGTTGTGTGCGTTGCCAAAGTCTACAAGAAAATTTCTATTTCTTTCGTTTGTTGAAGGGGGTTTACAGGGTTCTGTGTGTTTGCGTCTTGCATTTCTTTATTTCATATTTAGAAACTCTCTCTCTTTCTCTGATCACTTTCTCTCTGCCTCTCATTGAAGTTTCATTAATGAGGTTTGTTGGAGTTATTAACCCCATCAAAAGATGTAGGAAGTCCCATCATA